TAATCAGGTAGGTAAGTTCAGTTCAGTTCAGTTCAGTCGCTCAGTCATGTCCGACTCTTTGCGACCCCATGAATCACAGCACGCCAGGCCTCCCTGTCCCTCACAAACTCCCAGAGTTTACTCAAACTCATGCCCATCGAGTTGGTGATGCCATCCAGCCATCTCATCCTCTGTCGTCCCCTTCTCCTCCTGCCCCCAATCCCTCCCAGCATCAGGGTCTTTTCCAATGAATCAACTCTTCGCATCAGGTGGCCAAAGTATTGGAGTTTCAGCTTAAGCATCAGTCCTTCCAATGAACACCCAGGACTGATCTCCTTTAGGATGGACTGGTTGGATCTTCTTGCAGTTCAAGGGACTCTCCAGAGTCTTCTCCAACACCACAGTTCAAAAGCATCAATTTTTCTTCACAGCTTTCTTCACAGTCCAACTCTCACATCCATACATGACCATTGGAAAAACCATAGCCTTGACCAGATGGTCCTTTGTTGGCAAAGTAATGTTTCTGCTTTTTAATATGCTTTCTAGATTGGCCATAACTTTCCTTCCAAGGAGTAAGCGTCTTTTAATTTCATGGCTGCAGTCACCATCTGCAGTAATTTTGGAGCCCAAAAAAATAAAGTCTGACACTGTTTCCACTGTCTCCCCATCTATTTCCCATGAGGTGATGGGACCAGATGCCATGATCTTAGTTTTCCGAATGTTAAGCTTTAAGCCAACTTTTTCAGGTAGGTAAAGTTCTCCTCATTTTCAGGTTCATGAACAGCATCTGGGGAGGTTTTCTGGACCCCACCCTTGGAGTTTCCACAGCAGTGAGTCTGGGGTGGGTTTGAAGTGTTCACAAGGCATCACTTCTTTGAGTCTCATTTCTTCACCTGGGACATGGAGATTATCGGTGGAAGCAACCCCACAGGCTTGTGAGCCTTCAGTGAGATGATGGGTATAAAGTATAAACCCAGGACCTGCCAAACAATCATGTGCTTAATAAAGGTCAAGTATTGTTATAATTCTTGGACAAAGTCCCTCCTTCATAACCTTGCAACATCTGTTATTACAAAGAGTAGTCAACAAGATGTTATAGACCATGATTTATCCTTTGCTTCATACTGGGAACTTGAAGTGCTAGAGTAGCAAGCAAATTATATTGTGTTATATAATTTCTGCCAATAAAGTTCCTTTACTGTCATGAGAATTCTTTGCCTCATATTCCCAATTTGGATATATCCCAAGGGGAGTATGGGACTACACAGCTTGAAAGAGTCCATTAAAAATTTAAGGGAAGAGGGATAAATTAGGAGTTTGCTAATTACTACTATACAGAAAATAGATAAACAACAAAGACCTACTGTATAGCACAGGGAACTACATTCCATATCTTGTAATAACCTATAATGGAAAAGCGTTTGAAAAGAACAGATATGTATGTATATGTGTAACGGCTTGCCTGATGGCTTAGTGGTAAAGAACCCACCTGCAAATGCAGGAGGCGTGGGTTCAATCCCTCGATCAGGAAGATCCCTAGAGAAAGAAATGGCAACCCACTCCTGTATTCTTGCTTGGGAAATCCCAAGGAGAGAGGAGCCTGGCAGGCTACAGTCCATGGGGTCACAAAGAGTTGGACAGTACCTAGTGACTAAAACAATAGCAGCAACGTATAACTGAATCACTTTGCTGTGATTCAGCAAACTAATGCAACATTATAAGCCACCTGTACTTAAGCCTTCCCTGAGAGCTCAGCTGGTAAAGAATCCACTTACAATGCAGAACACCTGGGTTTGATTCCTGGGTTGGGAAGATCCCCTGGAGAAGGGAAAGGCTACCCACTCTGGTATCCTGACCTGGAGAATTCCATGGACTATATAGTTCACAGGGTCGCAAAGAGTCAGACATGACTGAGTGACTTTCAGCTTCACATACTTAAGAAAAGTATAAACAGGACTTCCCTGGTGGCTCAGTGATAAAGAGTCCACGAGACATGGGTTCAAAACCTGATCTGGGAGGATCCCACATGCCGCAGAGCAACTATCCATGGGCCACAACCATGGAGCCTGAGCTCTAGAGCCCATGGGCTGCAGCTACTGAAGTCCATCACCTAGAGCCCAAGCTCTGCAACAAGAGAGTTGCCCCCACTCGCTGCAACTAGAGAAAAGCCTGAGTAGCAATGAAGATCTAGAAGAGCCAAAAATGAATAGTAAATTACAAGTAGATAAATAAAATCTGAAAAACTTTAACTTGCAGAAGAAAGGCTATGAATGTACTGGATCAGTGTTACAAATTCACGTCTCCTTCGCTGTGGGAGGAAGTGTAAATGGTATAGTCTTTTTTTTCCCCTTTCAGTTGTATTGAGATATAATTTACATACAGCACTGTATACATTTAAAGTGTAAAACAATGATTTAACTTATATCCATTGTGAGATGATTATCACCAGAAGTCTAGTGGACATCCATCATCTCCAGAGATACAATAGTAAAGGGGTAGAAAAAAATATTTTCCCTTCTGTTAAGAACTCTTTAAGATTTACTCTCTTAACAACTTTTGTTTATAAAGTGTAGCACTGTTAATTATTTTTACCATGTTGTTTGGTCTCTAAGTCATGTCCAACTCTTTGTGATCCCATGGACTGCAGTACACCAGGCCTCCCTGTCCCTCACCATCTCCTGGAATTCACCCAAGTTCATGCCCATTGAATTGGTGATGCCAACAAACCTCATCCTCTGCCACCCTCTTCTCGTTTTGCCTTTAGTCTTTCCCAGCATCATGTTGTATATTATTATGTATCCCTAATACTTACTTATAACTGAAAGTTTATACCTTTAACTACCTTTATCTAATACTCCCAACACCTTCCTCTGGTAGCCATAAATCTGAACACTTTTTCAATGAATTTATTTGTTTTTGAAGTATAATTGACCTACAACACTATGTTAGTTCCTGGGACACAAGACAGTGATTCAATGTTTCTATATGCTTCAAAATGACATCAGGAAAAGTCTAGTTGTCACCTGTCACCATACAAAAACAATTGCGTAATTATTGACTATATTCTCCACACTGTATATTTCATATCTGCAAAGAAACCTAGGTGCCCATCAATAGTGGAATAAAGTGTGAGATATACATATATGTGTATTACTGAACCATAAGTTGCATAGTCTTTCTGGAGGACAATTTGGCAAATATCTTGTATCTTTTCAGTAGATGGCTCCTTCACATCCTTAGTATTTTCATGTTTAGGCATCTATTCTGGGGAAATACTGATATATAATTATGTATATAATTATATGTATACATGTATGATATATAATTGTGTGTATATATATATAAATATATATATAAGCATTGCAAAGTGTATGATACATATCCACAAGAAATTGATGACAAAAAAGCCCAACCTGCTAAATGTCTTAACAATTGAAGTTTGGCCAAATAAATTATAAACCATTCATAAAATGGAATTTTAGATAGTAGCTATTATTTCTTTTTAAAAGAGAAGATACTAACCTGGAAAGCTCTCCAAGACACCACATTAACTGAATAAAGCAAAATAATACATATAACTTCATTTCTACCAAAAAATGTATGTGTTTATATATACACTTATAAATATACGTAAAAGCATAGGAAAAGAGCTTTGAAAAATACAAAGCAAACTCGTAATACTGATTACTTCCTGGAAGGTTACTCAGGATATATCTGTATTGTTGGAATTATTTACCACAATCATGTGTTTGTGTGAAAATGAACTTTGCCATTATGTTAACTCAGTGATAGTCATTGTATCTTGGTCACTTTTGGGGAGATATTCCGGAATCCTTTCCTCGCCAGCAGTGCTGCAATGCTCCTGCAAGCTCTTTGGAGCTGTCCAGCCCTGGCCCCACGATCAAGGCCACAACATGTAGCAGCCTGGGGTCCAGCCAGCCGTCATGGGTTTGGATCCAGGCTTCCCCTTTGCTATGGTCTGTGCTGCGTGGGGCCATTGATCCCCACCCTGGACTGAGCTTCCTCTCTGGGGACCCTGGTCCCTCCTTCAGACTAAGGAGTCATTCCTGAGTGCTTGTGCCCTTTGAACCTGCAGAGATTCTGAGATGCTAATGTGAGCTCACTGCCTGAGATGGACAGGCTGAGTCCCCTCTTGGCTGACTTAGTCTTTCTCTGCCCAGGCCTCCCCACAGGAGGTCTTAAGATGCTTGTGTGAGTTCTGGCCACCAAGGACAAAGCAGACTTTCTCTTCACTCCCACTGTCCTGGGGGTTTGTCTGCATACGCCTCTCTCAGAGGTTTTGTAATTGGGATGGGAAAGTGGGCTAGGCTCCTTACACAAGCCCCTGAGGACCCTTTCGTGTCTTTCTCCTATAGTTCTGCTCATGTAGGGCGCCCACACAACCTTCTCTCCAGAAACTTCTTGGTATGAAGCAGGGTAGCCTCAGAGATCACCAGACACCAAGATCGACCATGCCTTTCAACTCCCAAGGGAGTTCAACTGCCCAGCTTGTGATCTTGAATATCCATCCCCTTAGATGAGTGACTTACTATCACTGTGGTCCCGCCCTCAGCCATGGAGGCAGCTCCAAAGCACACGTTCATCCTCCTTGTGTAACTGGAGCTGCAGGAGACCCCAGATGGGCCCTGACAAACAACACCTAGCTTAAGCTCTTACTCTGATAATATAATTTACACAGAGAAAATTCTTTTGTTTGGCTATGGTTCCTAGAGGCACGAGGGAAATCAGGGACAAGAAGTAATGGAGCAATGAATGAAGAGCTAAAACATGTTCCTGAGATTTCCAGTTTAATATTCGCCTCTCCTAAAACAAGCTGCTTAGTCTGAGAAACCAGTTGTGAAATAGAACAAGGAAATTGGAATATCCTAGGACACTCCCTTGAGAGCTTATATTTTAATCCCCTTCCTGATCTACCACCTCCTACCCCACCCTCCATTCTGGTGACAGGGAGAGTATAAATTTTAGCTGGGCTCTGTCCCTGCACCACACCAGAGGCCAACATGAAGACAGTCACCGTCTTTGTTCTGCTGGCTTTTGTCATCATGGGGCTGGAGGTGGCCTGGGCTCAGAAGTCTCCTGGCAAAGGTGAGGGTGCTGAGGGGACCCTAGCTGACAGCAGAGAAGGCTCAGAGCCCAGTGCTAAATGTGGGAACGGTTTGGCCTGGAAGCAACGGTGTCCCCTCATGCGTCTCCCTTGATCTTAATGAGAGTTCACCCTGCATTTCCCATGGTCCTTGTCAGATTGGGTTGGGTCTCATTGGAAGCCGTGGGTCAAGTGTAGGGTTCTCTCTATTAGGACCTTTGCCCAGCGGTGGGACTCCGCAGGGAGCTATGGGACAAACACGTATGGGACTCACACACATGAGTGGGGAAATGGAGGCCTCTGTGAGCAGAGACTTCTCTAAGATCTTATCAGGCGGGAAAGAGAGAGTTATGACTGGGAAGGTTTCTTGTCCTCTGAGACTGTGCAGACTTTGGAGCAGGGAGAACTTTCTGCTAAGGCCAGACCGTGGGCTGAAGAGTGAGAGTGAAGAAATCAAGGCTAAGGGAGGAGTCTTGCCGGCGATGAGGGCTTCAGGGCTCCAGCAGCCATTCTCCAGCCTGTCTCGGTGACCATTCCAGACTGCACAAAACCATCCTGTGTTTCAGGACGACAGAGACCTGGATTCTGCCCGGAGTTGCCCAGAGGTACTATCGGAACTTGTGTCGAATTGTGCTCAGGAGATGATTCCTGTCCCAGGGGAATGAAATGCTGCAGTCATGGGTGTGGTCATTCCTGCACAACTCCTGTCTTCCGAGTGAGTACAAATCAACCATGCACTGGTCAAAGATGCACATGACTCCCCAGGGCACTTTGCTGGTGCAGAGGGCTGCTCACATGTCCGCTGCATGTGAGAGTCTGGAAGATTCCAGGAGAGAGGGGCTAGAAACATGGCAAAAGGACAGCTGGTTGCATTATCTGAGGTCTTCTCTTAGAAGAGGAGCCCTATCACAAGACAGCCCTGATGGGTTCAGTTGAGAAAAGTATCTGTGATCCTAGATGCACAGGTCACTCTTTACCAGGAGTTTCTTACTTTCCTTCTGCTCCCTCACCAACGGGGCTTAATGCTTCCTGGAAAATGGGTCATACTGGGAGGAGGAAGAAAGGGAAAGGGAACCCCAAGTATCTCCTGTGTCAGGGACACATTGTCTTGGAATTGAAGTAAAAAGACAAGAACAGCATGGTTCAGGAGACAGATCTCGTTAAATAATTGCAACCGTTTGAGGAGTGCCCCAAAGAGAGTTCGCCTGAGATCTGTGGGATCAAAGAGAGGAGTTATTGACTTTGCCTGGGAGGAGAGAGATTGGGAAAGTTGCCAGAGAGTAGAGAATGTCCAGGGAGAGCATAAAGGATGCATGAAGTCAGCAGGAGGAAGGCAGGGCAGCTGAGAGAGTGGGAGGAGTGTCTATCGCCCCAGTGGAGAAGAGAAAGTGATGGTGGGAGGAAGGGTTGTAATATCTCAGAGGGTAGTGGAGGGTAATCCATGCCAGAGCCCAGAGAGGAATGAGCTTCCGGCTGAAGAGTTTGGTAAACTGCTGGATGTGTCTAAGCACAATTAATGTCATGATCAAATTTGTGTTTTAGAAGGGTGGCTCTGGTGGCCACGGGAAAGTTGGGCAGAAGGTTAACTGAGCATGCCTGGAGACCAGCCCCAGAAGATTTCTCATGAATCCATGGATTCGGTGCTTGGCATAACTACAAGACTTTCACATCCATTCCCGACTCTTTTCTATGCCTGGAATTGTAGCCCTGGAAGATGAAGATCTCAAATGGTGGGATGACTGCTTTCTAAAGAGCCTGTGTGGAAAATAAACTAAATCTGGAGCATAGATGGGTTGTGTCCTTCTTTCCATGTAGGCATTCGGGTGGCCCCTCCGCGGCTTAACAGGACCACATGTGTATACTGCAGTGGGCCCATGAATACAGGACACTCAGGATACAAACAGACCAGAAGCAAGTCCCCCCTGACTCCCCATTTAGTTTCATTCCTCCAGAGGAGCCTGGTGAGCTACAGTCCACAGGGTTGCAATGAGTTAGACATGATTGAACAACAAACACTTTCATTTTATCTCTATGTGCCTAGACAGGGCAGAAGGTCTGAGAATATTTTTTCAAGTGTTCTGTGAATATGATTTTGGTTGAGCATAAAAAATAAATAACTATGACTATGTAGCACATAGCAGGCCTGTTACAGCAGACTTTATTAGGGCAAGACTTGGAAGGGACAGTGCGGGGATACCCTCTTCTAAGGCAAGGCACCAACATCTATCAGGACTTGATGCCTAATTCTGGGAGAGTGAGCCTGATCCCCGGCATGTGGAACTTGGGCTGACATGAGTTGGGAAATGCCAGCTCTTGTCTTGGAGTGATTTGGAGTCAGGACACAGTTATGAGAAAGGCTTTGTGGATGGAGCTTTGGATTCAGACTTTCCCTGAGGAAGAGGATGAAACTTGGCCTCCCAAAGATTCTGGCAAAAATGATAGTCTGGACTGTCTGCTTATAAGCTTTCTCTCTTCCAGCTCTCTGTTCACCTCTTCCCATTGAGATCCTCCTACTTGCCTGCCGAGTGTGCTCTTCCATATCTATATGTCCCTGTCACCAACACTGCTCTGGCTTCTCATATAGCGCGTCTTAGAACCCCAATGCCCCATGGCCTCATCAGTCCGTGCATCGGAATGAGGGCATATTAGCCCTAAAATCATCTTTCAGTGGCTGGCCATTCCCATTTCAAAGGGTGCCATGCTCCTGTCTCGCTTGGTCATTTATGGGGGTTCATGACCATACCACTGAATTGTTCTCAAACATTTATCTGCCATACTGAATGACCTTCCCCTGCAAAAATATTTTGAAGATGGCATCCTATAACTTCCACTTGGGTTTCTCCCTTCCAGGTAGTCCAGATGTCCCTAGAAAGTTTTTTGCTTTTTAGTAAACTTCTCATTTTTCTCACCTGCATTTACTTCTTTTTCGGCAGGGGCTGGGGCGGGTGTGCTCGGCGGCATGTGAGATCTTAGTTCCCCTATTACGGATTGAGCTCATTCCCCCTGCACTGAAGGCACGAAGTCTTAACCTTGGGACCACCAGGAAAGTCCCTCACCTGCATTTAAACTGCCTTTATGTTTAAGAGAAACTCTGTTTCTCCCTCTGGAGATTGGCAAGGCCCAGATACTTCCTTCCAGCTCCCTGACAAATAGGGCTTGGCATTCTATTGCTTCTCTCTGATGATGTGGATCTATAGGGAATGGCACTGTAACTTAAGGATAGTCAAAAACAGTTCACAGCAGCAGAGGTGCCAACAGATTGTGGCTGTGAGCTGAACTTGGCTACATCTTCTGCTACCTGCCTTATATTGTTTCTTAACCCATTCCTAAGCCTGATTCACCAGTCTTTCCTGTTTTTTTTTTATGAGCTGTGTAATAACAAAATTCCTGTTGTCTCAACTTTGTCAGAATTGACTTATTTTGTCTGTATCTAAAAGGGCTTAACGTGGGGTGGAAACTGGTGTCAGGAGTGGATACAGGGCAACTATGCTCAGGGAAATGGCAGGAATCTGGGTTTTATGCATTGATCTAGTTAGAAGCCAAAGGCAATGAAAATGTTGTTAGTATCCTAGGATGGAAATCTGGCATTCAGTGGTGAAACAGTTAATAACCTCCTAGGTTAAATATTTCTAGGTATTTTATTCTTTTGGATGCTATCGTAGATGAAATTGTTTGCTTAGTTTCTTTTATGGATTTTTCATAGCTGATGAATTGCTTTGTGTACTGACCCGAACTTCATTGAATTTATTTTTTGCCTCTTGTAGAATTTTTGTAAATTCTTTGTGATTTTCTGTGTATAGAATCATGTCATCTTCAAATAGAGGTACTTTTACTTCTTTTTTCCCCCCAACTTTCATGCCTTTTATTTCTTTTTCTTGCATGATTTCTGTGGCTAGAAGCTCCAGTTGAAGAGCAACAGTGAAAGCAGGAACCCTTGTCTTTTTCCTGGTCTTAGAAGGAAAGCTTTTAGTCTTTTACTATTGAATATGATGTTAGCTGTGAATTTTTCATGAATTCCATCTATTGTGTTGAGAAAACTCACTTCTATTCCTAATTTTCTTAGTATTTTTTACCATTAAAGGATGTTAGATTTTGTCAAATCCTTTTTGTGCATCAGTTTAGATGATGATGTGTTTTTTCTTCCTTTATTCTACTAATGTGGTGCATTATATTTATTGATTTTCACCAGCAATGCCTTCTTAAGATAAATCCTACTAGATCATAATCCTTTTACTACGCTGTTGAAATCACTTGGCTAGTATTTTTTTTGAGGATTTTTGCATTTATTTTTATAAGGGATATTGACCTTTAATTTTCTTTTCTTGTAATGTCTTTATCTGGCTTTGATATTAGCATAATATTTTCCTCTTCTATTTTCTGGAAGACTCTAAGAATTGTTAAGAATTTTTGTTTTTTTGCATTATAGCTAGATAATATAGCTTATAAAATCGGGAATATGTTTTGAATTTCTTTGTGGCCTAGTACTTGTTTGGTTTTTTGTGAATGTCCTGTAAACGCTAAAAAATAAAAATAAAAACAAAAAACTGTCTTCTCTGTTGTTGAGTGTAAAGTTGTCTATTATCTACTAGTTTGAATTTGTTAGTCTTTATAATTTAATTTGTCTTTATTTTTCATTATTTTTGTCTGTATTATTCATTAATTTCTGAGAGGGATATGATAAAGTGTCCAACTAAAATAATTTATTCATGTATTTCTTTTACTTTTATCAGTTATTTCTTTGTATATATGTCAAGTAATAATTTTAGGAGTATATGTGCCTGTGTTCACAATCATTGTCTTAATTTATCATTCCTTTTAACATTAAATAATATCCTTTTCCCTTTATGTATTTGACATTAAAATATTTTTGCTAAATATCAAAATTGATAATTCAGCATTCTTTTAGTTCATATTTGTAAAGTAAAAATTCCATCTTTTTAAGACATACTATTAGACATTTTTCATATGTTTCTTAAAGCAATATTTTGCTTGACTTAAAGTCATTTTATTCAGTTTGAGAGGTCTTCTGTGTTGGGACCAGCCCAACAAAGAACCAACCCGAGGGAATGGTGCCAAAGAAGAATAAGGAAAAATAAGACTCATTCGAAAGCAAAAGCCCAGATCCTAATCCTTGCATGCCATTTATTGCTAACATCTACTTCCTTGTGCTCTAGAGATATCTATTTTTTACAGTCTCAGATCAGGGGTAAAGACATACAATGCACAGTCCTCAATGGCAAACCTTCAGGCCATTCATGATTGTGTTTAGCTCTTCAGCTAGTGACGACCTTTCTCAGCAGCTCCCTCAAGGCTCTGGTTATGAGAATAGTCACTAATGGTTTTCCATCAGTCACGCCAGTACTTCAACATCTTGTTTTTAAGATGTTTTTCCACGATGTACTTTTTATTGCTCCCAGCCTTTCGCCTGGGGGTGATGATAAAGTCATTCTTATTTTCCAAAGAAGCCCTGTTAATTATAGTACAGGCCTGTGCATAGCATATTCCCTACATTCTGATCAGTAAATGTAACCTACTTGTGTTTATGGCCCTAGCTGTTAAACTAGGATTTATCCTGTCACCATATTTCATGTTTCTTATTTATCATACTTTCTTATTGCTTTTTTTGTTTGTTTGTTTTTCTTTACTCTTTCTGTTAACTAGGTTAAATTTTTCATCTAGTAATTTAAAATTCATACTTTTAATTTTATTCTGCTGGAATTTACCCCCGTTGATTTTTTAAGCATTATTAATGTTTGCAGCTTTTCCAGAACAAGGGCATTACCTTAGCTTGCCCTCATTTCTTTTTGTGTTTGTGCCCCTAACCCCACCCTACTCAATAGCCACATAGATACCATATAGAATTTTAGTTCTAGATTTTATGCTTGTATTTTTTAAAAATTTCCATTTATTAGTAAGCTGTAAACTCACCCTTACTCCCCATAAATCTGAATCATCCTTCTGACTTTTTCTCCTTTCGTTGCTGAAATATTTACTCCAAGAGTGTTTTCAAAAAAGGACTTCGTGGCCTTGGATGCCTGAGGATTATCTTAATTTCGTTCTCACATTTAAGAGATCACTTACCTGGTTATAATATTCTATGCATAAATATTTTCTTTATGCTTTGAAAATAATTTTTCATTATCTTGATGGTTAGAATTGCTGCTGAGAATTCTGAACTTCATCTTTCATAGGCAGTCATGGTTTTCTCTCTGAAACTTAGAATTACTGTTTATTTTTTTATCATTATTGTATTTCACTATGTGTGCCCATGTGTGACTATTTATTTTTCATTAATTTATTCTACTGACACTTTATGGGCTATCAACCTAAGAAAGATGTACAACATGAGATCTGTGAGTTAAGTTTTATTTGGGACAGAATGAGGACTGCAGCCTGGGAGACAGCACCTCAGGTAGCTCTGAGAAACTGCTCCAGGGAAGTAGAGGGGGAAGGTCAATATATGTGATTTTGGCGAAGGGGGAGTTCATGCAATCAAGCACTTGCCTTACATAAGGCTTTCTGCTAGTCACCAGGGGCTGATGCCACCATAAAGGGTGAGGAGATTCAAGGATTGAAACCATAAAATCGGT